TACAGTTTTGTGATTTACCACAATAAGCAATAGATCGATAGTGGTTATGACCGCATATACGAATAGTCATATATCTTTAATACCGAGGCGATTGGCGTGTGGTGGGGATTGGAGCGCCTCCTGAACACTATTAAATGCCTTTATCAAGGCCGAATATAACTATATATTGATAGTATTTTAGTGATTTGAAAAATACAAGGAAACATTACTGATTCCTTTTAATAGGTTTATCATAAATGCCATCAAGTAATACAACACTATAATATTACAATCAAGTGGTTCTCTGGGTATACTAAAATAGAGGGTAATAAGGTAGTTGATTATCTTACCAATCAGGGTATAACTAGATTATTTGATTCTAGCCCATCATACCTCTCCATTGTTAGCAATTTTTGCTCTGTTTTATATACTAAATGTTGGTACTCAGAGAGTAAATAATGGAATACGAAAAGAGACCTGATCTCTGAAATATATAATGTATGAAAGCCGGTATATAATACCTCAAAGCCAGAAAGCTTTAAACTTTTTTATAAAGTATTATATAGATTTATAGCAATACAAACCAGATATAATGACTTTACAGCTTATCACACCAAATTCAACCATAAAAATAATAAAAATATTTATACATATAGAATCAAAAAAAGCCTATTACATTTCTTTCAATATTCAATTAATAATTAGACATATAATAACTAGTCACTTATACTAAATCGATTATAATCTGAATGGGATATAATAGTATATATTAATTGTATCCTACAATCACAATACAGCTTTATTAATCTTTTTATCAAATCTAGATTCTACATTAGAATATACCCAAACTATATATAATTATATAAATATCAATTTATTTTAATACCCTAAGGATAAGCTTTTTATTTTAATCAATCTAAAACCCGCACCGATTAGCTATAAGCATTTTGAGTGCTCTCCCAATCAATAACAATCGACCCGATTATTCGCCAATACCTGAACAATATACAAAACAAAACCCTCTAGAATAAGATCACAAATTCTTAAACAGAACAGCCACAGGATTGTTATAAGCAGTATTAAGCAAAAAAACACTAAAGGCAATAAGCCCCTAATTAGTTAACATTATACTATTATAAACAGCTGGAACACTAGCGGCCTGTAGGCCCACTCCTTAGTATATCTAGAATACCCCTTGGGAGATCAGATATTAGATGTTAATCACTATAAATAAATAAATAAATAAAATAAATAATAACAGAGTATTGATTGGTTGGATTAATGAATTTGTTGGTGATATTATTGTAAAATGCTTTAAGTCGGTCTATATTCTCAAATCCTAATAAAAATGGAATGTCGGCATCTACAATGTGAAAGTCGATATATCCAAATGGTATATTGATACAAAATGATTTTATTGATATTACAATCCCCTTTTCAAAATATATATTCGCAGTTCCTACTATTTATAGATTATATATTACCAGGCATATTTGTCGTTATATATAATATTGTTTAATTTTAATTATAGATTTATTTGTATAAGCTGTATCGATACATATACCATAAAACTTCTTGCTTATATAATTTGTGTAAAAGATATCTATTGGATTCTCTATAGGTAAAATAATCTCAATAGAGTTTTTAGTAATTGTATATAGGAAAATATTAATTAACAATTGATTAAATATTCCTGGTTATTGATAGATTTTGAATTATAAAAAAATATCTTTTCTTTATTATTATCATATCAAGATTCATAAAGAATTAACCCATTTCAATCTCTAAATTAGACTCTATATTAGTAGCCTTTCCTTATATTCAATCAATTATTAGTTCCTAGTACTATTATATACTATTGCTATTAGTCCTTAATCTTTTCCCAATATTCATATGATTTTTTTATCTTATTCCTTCTAAGAATACTTTGTCATCGATACCCCTCTTTTTTGTATATCCAGTACCCACTTATATTGATTTGAAGAATTAGATTTTATTAGAACTTATTATGGATATTGCTTTTAAACTGTTATATTTGAATTACCACCTTCTAGAGTCCCTAAAACCACCTTGATCATTATTATTACCAAATCCTCCTATCAATAAATAGCACCTTTATTTTCTTTATTCTTATATAATCTTTCCCTATATATTAATAGATTATTACAATTGATTGATATAAACCGAACACCTCTTTTTTGGGGTTAAAAACAAATCAGATTGCATGCCTTTATGTTTTTACTATATAAATATAAGTTTATTATATAGATAGGATGTTTATTGTATAACAGAATCAAATCGGTATTACAGTATACATAGTTTTTTGATTATAATAATAAGATACTTATTGAGTAGTTTATTTTTATACTTCTTTTTAATTGATTTAAGAATAATATTGTTTTATTAGATAGTATATTGTATTAATACTTTTCTTCCTCAAAGTTATTTTGTATATAAGTACAAAGCTCCTTAAATATCGATGGTAATAAATCGTAGTTAACATAAAAGAATTAAAATACATTATCCTTAAGTATAATTAGAAACGCCTTGTATTGCAAATCTATAGATATCTTGGCATATTATATAATCTCATAGAATATCGAGAGTTTGAAGTCGAAATTGTTGTTATCCCCATTATATTTCTCTTTATTGATGTAGAATTTTAATAACTGATTAAAAGATTGTTTATTGGAATAGTTGGGATATTATCAATGGTTTTTATCCCTATCGCAATTATCCCTTGTAGTTCTTTTCATTGTTGTTGTTATTATCATTGTTAGGATCTCCTTTTTCATCGTCCGTTTCCATTATCATTTCTAGTCCATTTTCATTACCATTTCCAGTTACCGTTTTTATTATCTTTTCAATCATCATCGTATTTGAAGTTGTTTTCGATAAATCTGTTTAATCATCCTGGATTTAAATTTAGGCCTTTTTAATGTTGCAATCCTTCAAAACTTTCTAAACCTGGTTTTTTGTTCATACACCTATAATAAACCTATGAGATTGATTGTATAAAGCTAGATATACTTCAATATCTATCTTTGATATCAATATTCCTTAAATACATAGTACTATACATAGCTTTCATACATCCATCTAATAAATCTTTGCGAATTGTCCAACCATAAATATATTGACGTTATTATAAAAGACCCAGTAAGCTTGTTATTGTTGATGTTCTTATAGTTATATTGTTTGTGTTTGAATTTAACATATTTAATAAACTCTCTAGTATCAAATACAATATCCTTATTATTAATCTATTATTCCTTTAATAAACTTAACCACTCCTTACAGTACTCCTTTTCCTTCTCTATATATAAATCCTTATTGATAACCTTAGGGGCGGTTGAATTGATGGCATTGTTACTGTCCGATATAATGATATATGAAAATAAATATTTCGTAAGTTGTAGGTATTTCGAAAGTTGTAGATATGGGTATAAATGTTTTTGAAAGGGTAAAAGGGTGTTTTATAAAGGTATTTAGATAAAAGTTTGTGGGTTACCCTGTACAGTGTACAGTACAAAGGCTAATGCATAATGGACGCAAGCTCGATTCGTTTATAATTGACAAAATCGACCTTTTGAATATATTTTTCTGATACAATTATCCGGAGTATACTTTTTAGTATAATAAAGAAGATAGTATACTATATTAAGTATAATAATATTTTCTTTATAGTCTCTTCAGAATTTCTATCAATTTTAAAAACCACTTCAAAACACCTAGTGTTTTGTAGTAAAATCCAAGGCTCTAATTTGTGATATCACTAATTAATATTGGTATCAATTTGGGGTTAATAAAGTGTATAGTACTTTAATCTATTATGATTATATTTGTTCTTAATCATTATTAACTATGGGAAGCTAGTATTTAATATAGTAGAAGTGCTAGCGCTAGTGCATACGCTAGTACATACGCTAGTGCAATACAGTGCCCTCTTAGATCACATGATCGATATCCCGACAGGTAGACACTAGGTACTCGCTTAGATGAGTAGCGACCAAACAATCCTCACCAAAACTCCCCCCGGATCTACTCCTGTCGAGTAGGTACAGAGACTAATACAGTACCAGTTGATCACACCATCCTTTGCTCTCATACCAGTTATGCTCCAATTAACTCTGAGATTCTCTGGAATTCAATCAAACTCAAAGCTCCCTGCGATTCGATTAATTCTTCATTCCCTGATTCAGTCATTCCACAATTCAACATGATCTTCGATTTTGCTATCAACAAATCTTAGCTATGCTCGAGGAAAAGATACCTAGGTGCCATAAATTTTTTAATTCTTATAGTTCAAATTTCAAAACAATGAATTGTCTCAAAAAATCTTAGGGTATACCACGCCAGAGCAGAGCTACACGCCAATCTTCCCCTCTCCCTTTTTCGCTTCCTCTATGTATGATATATAAAATCACTTAATCTCAACTCTCTCATCTGATTCAATATCCCCTCCAGCCTTATTTATGATGAATTAAAAGATGCGAATGTGATGGATGGGTGGATGGAAATATAGATGAATGGATCTATGAGTGGATAGAAATTGACGAGAAAGAGTTGTTTACCACCTTTAGGATCTGATAAACCACTTTTTACAATTAACATACACATTACTACTGATTCAATGTTACTTCACAGCAATATTCACAAATATTATAACAGCATAAACATAGCAATGTCAAGAAGTACTGACTGGCATTATTTGATACCTATCTAAAACTAAACCTTGATGCACTTCATATTATCTCTTCTTATCCATCAATAGTACTAGCTATAATAAATCAAAATAGGTATCTGTGTTTAACTCCACTCTAACTTTCCATACTCCGTATTCAATGTTTGTATTTTATATCATCATAGAGACATTTACCCCTCACTCTCGCTCCCAACCCACCAATACCTTTCTTCTAGTTCCTCTACTTCATCCCCTCAATTTCATGAAACCTTACTTTTTCCTCTAGGAAAAAAAAATTTCTGTATACATGGAATCAGATCTCTGTCTTCGTAATCCTTCAGAATTTTCCTTTGACATTCTCAGTATTGGTATCTCTCTTGGACTTATCCACTTCAAGAGCTGCATCCCATTTTCGAATCGATTTCTGGACCTCAGCCTTTTGTTTTCGAACACAACTTTCGTGATCAGAAGATGGTTTGTTCCCTGTATTTGATTGTATACTTTGAAGACCGCGCACTACTGATAACCAAAAATTGAAAGGCTTTATACAAGTATTGGCATAATGATTGTGGAAAGCCGAACCACGGTCATTCAAGATGTTATAAACTTGATTCCCACCAGTCTTGTCCGCGTCAATCAGGAGTTTGATATCTTTTTTTGACGCTCCATATATCGCATCTAAAAGGATGTCATAAGATTCAGGATCTTTATCGGCTAGCTTAATCACTGTGTCCAAATCAGTTTGATGTGCGGATCGATTTCGTTGCTTTCTAGCGGTACTCATCGAAGTTGACTCATATATCTTCTGCGTAGAATCCGTGTTGTCACGCGTCATTTCCCATAGTCGCTTTCTCATATTGACCGTCTCTCCCTCATATCTTAACGCCTTCTCTCTTTCCAATCTTTCAGTCTTCACTTTCTCTGCTTCCAAGACTCTTTCCAATCTTTCAGTCCTCACTTTCTCTCTTTTCACTCCCTAATATCTGCTTTCAGCTCCTTCAACTTTTCGTCAAATGTGAGGTTCTTTTTCTCGTGAAGGCTGGGATTGTTTGTGATTATCTTCTCGTGTGTGATGGTATCTCTGTGGCCAACCAATTTCATCATATCTAATTGCTCCTTGACCGTTTTGTTGATTGATTCAAAACAATCCTTTTCAAATAGCCCGATGTCTTCATGACTGAGAGGAATGCTCCCTAGGAGGTGATAGGCTACATCTATTTGATCCTACATTATTATTAGCAAAGTACACCTTATGTGATTATACAGCAAAGTTGATCTTTGCTGAATATAGAATTTGAGGGTAGGTGTCAAGGATTTCAATTAGAGAAATATAGGGAGGAACGAACATGTTTAAGATAGGATTGCCTTTGTATATTGTGAAAAATATTGAAATGTGGTCTACATTTGCGTGATTTGTTGAGGAGTGCATTCGAGATGGGTGAACTCCAAAGGCTTTGTCGGATCATTCTGCTAGTAAAGGAATGAAGCAAGGACTGGACTAGTATGTAGAATCTAGAAGCATAGGGTGGCCATGAGACGGTGGTGGATTTTGATGGTTATGGTAATAGTTATGGTAATGATTGTAGGTGATCCTGATGAAATGGTTGAGTCTGGGGTTTGGTTTCCATTAGTTTGTTTGTCTTAAGGTAAATGTTGATCTTGATAGTTCAAAACGCTCGAGCCATCTGTAGGGCTGAACTTTTTAGCTAAGAAGTACAGCTTATCAAACTATCAACCATCAAACCATGATGAACAAGCATGCACATCGTATATGATTATACCTATGCATTTTCATTATGGTAGATTACATTGATTTGTCTTGAGTTGTCTTATACTCTCTATCAAAGTTTCAAAAAAATCTATTGAGCCAATGTCCAGGGTGTAGAGACGCCTCCCCATCTAATGTAATAAGATTTCGAGCTCTGAGGAGAGTGCTGTGTGTCTTATTGCGTCTAGATTCTAGATCATATTACCATGTCTAATTAAATGCAATTTTTCTCCATTGAAACTAAACTATTTAAGTATCTTCTGACCATCCCTCCCCCTGCCTTCTTCCTGTATAAAAGAAACCTTTCCCAGAGCAGGTTGCTAATGAGCCACTTAAACTCAAGAAACTTTATTAGACTACCGGTACTCGAACTGACCCAATTCACCATCAGGGGTGTGTGTGCCGATGCCCTGGTCATATAGTTTAATTTAATATAACAAGCTTGGATTTAATCCACTACTCCAGCCTCCATAAGACTTACCCGAGTGCATCTATTACATGGCTCATCTTATCCTCATCTGTAAGAAAGATAGATCAGCTTACTCCTAGGAAACTGAGCTCCTGGGTACCGCATTTTTTGCAACTTTTAACTATGAACTCACAATTTAGTGTGCTGATAGCTTCAATCAACTCTACCACATCGATACTACATTTTCGAACACAACCATAATTGATTTAACACCCTGACTGATCAAAGTGTTCTATAATGTGTCCATCAATGGTTAGTATAAGATCTAGCGCGACAAGTGAATGAGAATCTGGTGATGACATGATTTGGGATTAAGATTGCCATGAAGAGCGACATGGACATGATGGCGGTCATAGAAAGAGGAGAGTAGGTCCCTCCTTACGTTGCTTCTCTGCCCACAATGTGTTCTTGCTAATTCTTTGAGAGATACCAACTTACTCACAACAACTCTCGGATATGAATGACAAAACTTATCAACCTCAAGTACTGAGGTGAAACCATCTCACAATATCGACGTCCCTGCAACAGAACAACAGTCATCTAGAATGTGCTGAAGCAGATCCCTTCACCAATAAGACTCGCGACGATTCAGATAATTGGCACCTGAATGGGATATTACTTCTAGGTCTCATTTATTGCCAGCTTAGGATTGAATGTTATCTCCTATGAAGGTGCATACTGGTTGAGGACGAATTTCTCTGCAATCTTAGTCACAATCTTTTTCAGTTCCACTGCTAGATTTGACTCTCCTGTCTTCCCACTCTCAATCAATATCATAGAGATGTGGGTCATCTTTAAGGTCTTTCTTGTATTAGACCTTTTTCATTTCTTATTATATGTATGAGGATTCATAATAAGTCCACTAAATGACTCATTAATATCTTATTAATTAAGAGATATCTTGATGAATAATATATATATAATATGATCTTATATTATAAAATCATATTATCATATTTATTTATTTATTTATTTATAGTGATTAATATCTAATATCTGATCTCCCAAGGGGTATTCTAGATGTACTAAGGAGCGGGCCTACAGGTTGCTAGTGTTCCAGCCGCTTATAGTAGTGTAATGTTAGCTAATCAGAGACTTGTTGCTTCTAGTGTTTCTTTGCTCAATATCGTTTATAGCAATCCTGCGGCTGTTCTGTCTAAGGGTTTGTGGTTCTGTTCTAGAAAGCCTTGTTTCGTATATCGTTCGAGTGTTGGCGGATAATCGGGTCGATCGCTATCGATCGGGAGAGTGCTCGAAGCGTTTATAGCTGGTTAGTGTGAATCTTAGATTGATTAGGGTGGAGAGCTTGTTCTTGGGGTATTAAAGTAGATTGGTATTTGTGTGATTATATATAGTTTGGGTATATTCTAATATAGAATCTGGATTTGATAAGAAGGTTAGTAAAGTTATATTGTAATTGCAGGACGCGGTTGATATATACTATTGTATTCTATTCGGATTGTAATCGGTTTGGTATAAGTGGCTAGTTGTTGTGTATTTGATTATTAATTAAATATTAAAAGAAATATAATAGGTTTTTCTCGATCTTGTATATACAAATATTTATATTATTTTTGTGGTTGAATTTGGTATAATAGGCTGTAAAGTTATTGTGTTTAGTCCGTATCGCTATAAGTCTATATAGTACTTTGTAGGAAAGCTTGAGGCTCCCCAGCTTCAAGGTATTATATATCGGCTTCCATATATTATATATTTCGGAGATCAGATCTCTTTTCGTATTCCACTATTTACTCTCTGAGTGCCGACATTTGGTATATAGAATAAAGCGGGAGTTGCTGATGATAGCAGAAATGAATTATATTATAACTACTTTTTAGAATATATTATAATACAAAGTAGATTCGCTATATCTACAAATGCTTCCTTGGTTTACTTGTGATAAAGCCACTAGTATTAGGTTTCTATAGAATCTTCTGATTATATTAAACCACCTATTATATAATTACCTTCGGAAGTTCCGGTCAAAATCAAAACCATTTCTTTATATCTTTATTCCTGTTTACTCTTTAAGCCTATCTGATACCTCCATTATGCCCTCTGCCTTATAATATCTGATTATAGATCGATATATACATCCATCCTTTCAAGCTATATAAACAATATTGTTGTTATTATCATTATATACTACACCTCACAACTAATAGCCGTTTCACATTACTTTACCGGATCTTTTCTATACAACAAAACCGATTATATCTTGCAGGCTTGCTATTTCAGACTTCTAGCCAGATAGCCCTTCTATAATGTTTCCAATCTATTAACTAAAGCTTTACTTATAAAATCCATTTTCCTAATATATAGTTTGTAATCAAAAATAGAATGCTAGAAACATGTTGTATATATATATTGTAGGATTAACCTCTACCTGAGATCCTCTATTGCTGTAATATTAATTAAGTATTGTCGAGTGTGATTTATTAAAAGTGTCCTTCCTATATTGGAGCTTCTCTGTTATTATACTATTCCTATATATTCGAAGATAAGGTATTAAAAACATTCCTTCTCCTACTCTATATATACTCTCACCAACCTCAATAAATACTATTCTAGCCTTTATATACTTTCTATTATTTCTTTTATTATTTATAAATATCCGATTTAGTATATCTGTAGATTGTATATATTGTTAGATTGTGAAAACTCTATATACTAGTATTCCAAAGGTATTCTGTTGATTTTCGTTTATCAAATTAAGGATATCGGTCTTATTTCCAATATAAGCTTCAATTAGATTCAACTATATTATAGAAGCTTTATTATTTATTATTTCAAAAACTAATTCTATTTCGCAAATGCTTTATTATAATATACTCTGACTTTACTTCCCATACAGATTTGTAAAGGTATAGTTCCATATCAATCCTGCTCTCATTTCTCTTTCATTATCGAATAGTTTTTATTTCCATTTTGCTAGTAATCTTTTATTCCAAGTATTTTTGCAATTACTTTCTAATAATCAGTTATATATACCTTTGCTTTCAGTATAGCCTCCGATTAGTATATAACCATCACCCAGCTCCAGCTGACTCTATTTAGCTCTCCGATCGCACGATCAAAGGTTCGTAGGATACACCACATACAGGTGAGAGTCATCGTATCCCTCATATTATCATATAGTTATATAATAGTATCTCTTATCGAATTGATTTATAATGAAATAGAATGAAATGAAACTAGATGGAAGTATATAGGAAATATCGCTAAATTGATTGGTTGTACTTTCTTTTTATTATTGTTGGAAATCACATGTGTAGCACATGTGTGGCACGTGCACACCACTATAAAACTCCTTCTTTGGACTTTCTGGATATATAGATCTGATATACATATTTCAATATATCACTCCTTATGTGTAACTTGCTGTCTATTTCTGATAGGTTATAAGCGTTGCATTATTATAAGCTTCATTTTATATCTCTATATCCCCTGAGTCTCGAGTTCTTATTCCCTTATAGCTATTCTTATTCTTGATATTATAACAAGTAAGACTATTATTAATATAGTTCAAATAAAATGGGGAATACTAGTCACTTTTAATGGTTATAATTGGATAGACTTCTATAAAGCTATTTGAACTGTTATAATAACAGCATTTGTG